TCGACCTAAATGCCCCTAATTTGGGCCCATACATAAATTCAGCAATCGACTAAACTGTCGATAGCGACCAAAAATATCCATTAGTACCGTCCCAATGACGCGTTCTTCTTAATAAAATTGATAAAAAGTAGATTTTTAACGATGGGCCCAATCTTAGATCCATAGACCAACATTAGAGCCATTTCCCCTAAAAGGTAAAATTAATACTTGTCTTGTTAACATTGCAACCATCAACATTCTGTACATGTAAACAATTGGAATGCTATGTTCATTTTACCACCACTTCCCGTACCGTGCCTATATCGAGGGGAGCGACTCTATCGAAAATACTAGTAAGATTTTGTTTTGCTGTCGTTAGATGCGCTTTCGGTGAGTAGATGTAAAAAATGAAAGGATGATTTCCTACAAAAAAACAACGCGATGCATTTACATGAAAACAATGTCATATTTCGTAGATTGATTCGTTAGCGGGAGATTGTCGGGAATCTTAGGATTGATATTTATATATGTTGCCCCCCCCTAGGATAATACCAATGGATGCAATGTACATTGGACGCAACAAATATAAAGAAAATCTTGTATAGGAGTGTAGTTCAGGTTGCAGTCTTCTTTACAAATAAGTAAATCAAGATATATTGGCTAAAGTAATTATTAGCATCGCTAGTTCAACTTTTTGAACATGGAATTTTCCAAAATGTTCGTGGCATCAGTTTTACGAGAAGTGCTAATTTCTGTAGCTAATAAAGATATGGGGATAGCTATGTATTCTCTTGATTCTATCCTTAGAATATATCAAAAAGTAATCACAAACATTTTTGGCGGTAGGTGCTTACATTAATTACATTAATTTCAATTGGCTAACATTTAAAAAATACATTCGTCCACTGGCTAGGAAGGAGTCCATGGTTCTATTCAGAGATGAAATAGCCAAATGCTAAAAATTTCCCTAATAAAAATTAAAAAAAAAATCCATTGTTCTAGTATTTATACATACTTGGACCGTCTCATTCTAGTTGGCACTTCTGAAAAACATACTTGCTGTTTACAAACATACAATAATCCTACTAGGAATAGAGTGGTAACACCACCACCTCAAACTGAAGAGCGAAAGGATCCAGCACAAGATGCTAAGACTCGAAAATCTGTTGTCCACCACCCTGCATAAGCTCAAATACTTATATTGACGATGGTATCATAAATAATCTAATCTATTGCTTGATTTTGGAATAGGGTGAATGTTTCAATCATGGTTGTGTACTTTAGATTGAGGTTCCTAATGTTGTGTGCTTCTGTTGTGGCATTTGGGAATACCATTTACCATGATAGGGTGAGTTGTGGTGGAGTCATGTAGCCATGACGGAAGCACTTACTCTACGACATATCAAGACCAACAATTGAAATGGCCTTAACTCCATTTTGTAAACAAACCTTGTAAGGCCATTTACTCGCGGACCGAAACCTTCATTCGCAAACCTAAACCACAATCGGGCAGAGGAGAATTTCCCCTACCTGTTCATTCTGTTGGTTTGCCTTTGCGGACTTTTATTCGCGAGAAAATGGCCTTACAAGGTTTGTTTACAAAATGGAGATAAGGCCATTTCAATTGTTGGTCTTGATATGGTTTAGATAGGGAACTGAGCTTGAACTAAAGCATATAGTGACAGAAAAGTGTCATTTAAGACAGCAGAAGACAACATTTAATTATCAAGTTGATGAAGAAAGTTTTCCAAAGTTTAATAAAGGAGATTAGTGAGAAATTATAGCTTTAGACTGGAACACTTTTCATGGAACAAACAGGACGCCGGGGTCTGCTTAGGGAAGCAAATAGCCGTTAAGCTGAAGAATAAATCTTCCCATTGAATTTATTTTAGTTACAGTCAGTAGAGATTTTTTTTTACATTAGCCATCACAAATAATATTCATATCTAGGCATGGCAAATTCGCGCTGGTTCATCATGTACAAGAGATACAGATTTGAGTTACACACAAAAGTTGTTGCGAATATCAAAACCTACAAAGCTTCAAACATAATGTCATAGAATTCTGATGATGAAAAAAGTTAGAGGTATGTAAATGAATGCCCGAAATGAATGTAAATGATATGCTATGCCTGGTCATATCTTCGAGCAGGCGTTTGTAAATACTAGATAGTGCTGGAAAAATGGGCGTAAAGGCTTTTGTAAACAATGACTTTTCTCGATGATTTCTAGAAAGTCAAGGATCGTCCACGCAAATCAACATCAACATTGGTTTGCGTGGACTTGTTTTGAATTCATAAAAAAAACATCGAGAGAATCTAAATTGATTGATGAGCGTTTTAGTAGAATAATTGTATACCTTTTCCGTTAATTTTTTTAAATTCTACTACTATTGTATCACTTTCACTAATTCACTTTAACCAATTTACTTTCACTATCACTTTAAACTATATCATAGTGAAAGTAAAAATGATACAATAGTAGTAGAATTAAAAGGAAAAATAACGCAAAAAGCATCGAGAGAAGTCATTGTTTACAACTGCTGTTTCGGCCCAATTCCAGCTCTATCTACAATAAGTGAAGTTTGAGAAAGGAAGAGTTCGACACAATTAAAGAAGTAGGTAATGATAGGATGAGGTTAGCCTGGATAGGAAAATTTTTATGTTGTTTAGGGTGAGTTTAGCATTAGTTTGTTTACGGTAAGGTGGGCTATTGTATTGATTTACCCGAAACTTTATTTGAGCCGAAAAGCTTAGATTGCATTGAGTGGGACAGTGACATTTAGTTCAATTTCATACAGATACTTGAAAATACTAAGTTCTATCAACTTTGAAAATGATGTTTTTTTTTAGTAATTTTAGTATTTGACTAGAATTAGCAAAAAAAAATCGAACGTATACGTCTATAGACAACTGCGACTAGCATCTTTATTCTAATACCAACTTACTATACCCGTAACATTCTGTTTCAAAAATAGTCTATTGTGCAATTACTAGAAAGAAATTTAAAAACTTCATAAAAGCCAAAAGGTTAAACAAAATTTTGGAGTTGTAAGGAAGTATGTATTTAGTGTGGTTCAAAATATTGATTTTGCTCCACCAAGCTTAATCGATTTCAATTCAGGTCCTGGTGATTTGAGCTCATTTGGATGCGATCTCATGTTGCACTGGCTATTTATATGGGAATTACTATGGAAAAGTGAACTTTTTGTTCTCATCGTTCTAGCCCTTCGCTGTAATGATCAACGGAAAAGTTTGCTATCTGTACTCATACAGAAGCTGCAACTTTGCTGAAGGCTCGATTTAAATTGACCACCAGGATGATTAGTTATTAATTAATTAATTAGAAAGATGATATTCTTCGGACATGCTCCATAAATTGCTCAGCTGGCAACATCAAACCAATCAAAAGCGTTCTTTCGCAAAGTTGTAGCTCATTAAATTTTACATAATAGCAGGTAGCTTCTCGTAAATCTGGTAAGTACTAAAACGTTGGGAAAAAAGGTAACTTTTCTAATAGTAATTCCCATATAAACTTCAAAGTGCAGTATAATTTCGCATCCAAGTAAACTCAAATTTTGAGAGAATGATCAGGATCTGATTTAGAATTAGAATCGACTGAGCTTGGTGGAGCAAAATAGATATTTTAAACTACCAGTTATGCTTACATAACTGTGAATATTTTCCCTAAAATTAAATAATAGTTTTTGTTGCAATAGCTTTTCAGTATAGGGTTGTTAGGCATATTAACCATACAACTTGTTGGCTACTTGTAAAATTGTAGAAAAAAAGTAATTTCCTTTAATATAATCAAGAATCAATTTTATTCTCTTCCGGAATAGTTAAAAAGGCGAATCTAAGATTACTGACAGCAGTAACAACATAAACTTAATATCTACATCTATATTTTGTAGGTCGTGGAACAGGGACTATAGGTAAAGCTAATCATCCATCTCTACCTCTTTATTTTCCCACCTTTTAGCTACTATCACTGTTACTTTGACTATCCCATATATTCCAAAACTTTCCTTACTATCCTGCATTTTAAAGCCGGATTCATTTAACCCCTGAGTTATTATTCTATGCTGTCAAATCTATATCTCTACCCTGGTGCAGCATGGCCAGTGATTTTTCACTGGAGGGGGTCATACTTCTGTCACTGAAAACGAAAATGAGATTGATCCCCTAGATTATGAAATCTGGCACACGATAGGTTAAGCAGTTAAGGTCCAAGCGCAATGACAGCGGAAGCGGAACGGCAGCGGCAGCGGAAAAGCCCGATCTGAGAAAGCCTACTTGTCGGATTGAAAACTAGTTTGAACCAAATCGACTTCGGTTAGGCATCTTGATTTCATTTGTGACAACTGTCAAACTTTCCGTTTCGGTTCCGTTTCCGCCCACATTGCGCTTGGGCCTTTAGGGTATTAAATTAATAATTAATCAACTTATTTTAAAGCCAAAATGAAAATTAATAGAAACACGGCATTAGAGGCAAAATTAATAGAAACACGGCATTCTATAAATGAAGAGCCATTTTAATTGATGGATCATCTACTAGATTAATTTATGTTTTTGATTATCAACATCAACAGGCTCAATATAGCCTTATTTCTGGTTTGAATAAAATTGAAAAGGGGCTGCATTGCACCTGTTGATTTTGACAAACAAATAAATGTACTAGCTGACCCACCTTGCCCCACCTTACCTTACATTAATGTTGTCACTAACTATCGAATCTGGAATAAAAGCGTCTACTAAATACTAATAAGCATAACAAAGTGTCTACTACATACCAATAGTAGTCACTAAGACATTATAAAATTAGTACAGCTGAACGTTTGGTAAAACTGTAAGCATATTTTTCTCAAATGTTCAAATTATGGCAAAACAAAATCCGAAGTCGGTAAGAATTTCTAAGTATGCAATATTCGCCAAGGTTTTAGATGTTTATCTATACACCGATCGAAAGAATATGTGTGTTAGAAATAACATCTCACCGTACCGCCATATGTATTTTATGCTTATAATTACTTTTTGATAATATTTCTTATTGATATTAGATGCATTTATTCCTATTCCGAGCATTCACTAGGATGTTCACTTCGAGAATTGTCGTTCTCCCCTTTCTTGTTTTCTTCAATACTATGTTCCACTTCAATGTATTCATCATCATCTTCACCAGCTTCCTGCACCTTATAGTTTTCAGTATTATTTTCATTTATTACAGGAAATGGTTTTAAATTTTGTTCGCCTTGTTCTTTACAAACAGAAGAACTTTGTTCATCAAACTGATTCTCCCCATCATTTTTTGCAGCCGAATCTATCAACTCTGCTTTGATTTCTAATCCTGCAGAAGATTCTTCCGTATTTCTAGGAACTAAATGTACCTTACCAAGTTCGTGATCGATGAGATGATGCTCGAGTTCTGCACGGAAGAAGAAAGCTTCATCACAGTGGTTGCAGTCGTATGGTTTCGCCTGCGGACCATGTTCTGCAATATGAGTCTGTAGGCCAACAGAGGAAGTAAATACTGAAGAGCATAGATAGCACACATAACCACGATCCTCACATCCAGCGAAAGTGTGATCAATCAGGTGCTCTTGTAGTTTTTGAACATTGGAAATATTTTTTTTGCATAGGTTGCACTTGATTGTACAGTTTGATTGTGATTGCTGGACATGTTGTAAAATCTGTTGTTGGTGACTAGAACTTTCTTCTTGAGTTTGACTTGCAGATGGCAAGGATGATTTGATAAAACTGTTGATCGATAGTAATTTCGATGGAAAATTGTGTCGCTTTAGACAAGATTCACAAATTTTAGTATCTTGACATGAGGTTAGAGGATCTAGACAAAGCGCACATGTTCTCTCATTTGTCTCGCTGGACTTCGTGTGAAATCTGTAGAGAGAGAAACAAAACATATATTTTGGTATCAATGTAAAACGAGATTACCACTTACTTAGCATGCAAACTGATTTCGAATTCGGAATTGAGAGTTTGGCGACAACAAATACACTGAATGGGAAATCGTTCCTGTTCTTGATTGGATCCAGAGTTTATACTCCCATTAGTTGATACATTGTTTGCATTTGTACTGCTGGGTCCCGTAGTTTGATGATGTTGGGTAAGATGAGCTTTGAAGCTATGTACATCAGGTAATGTGGTTGGACAATGCGAACAGCGTCCTGAGGCACCGACTTTACAATGAGTTAATTTATGTTCTGCTAGAACTGCTGGTGAAGGAAATATTTCGTCGCATATCAAACATTTATGTTTTCCACCTGTGTTATGGGTAATTTTCATGTGGTTTTCCAGTTCGTTCCTGAAAGTATAGGTAGTGTTAGATTATGACCTGGGAGTGAGAAGCAGATAGCACACATGGAATTCACTGTATAGTTGTTCTTCTTGTCATGACAATTTGTGGCATTGAAATCAATGTATTTTTATTATTGGTATTTTATTATGCTACTAGATGTTTTGATAAAACCGTGGTTAATGGTATCATACAATATTTATTTGAGTTTATTTTTAATGAATTAAAAAGAAACGGTGTCACATTCAATAAAATAGCTGGAAACAACGGTTTGTCATAAATCGCAAGATGTCAATACCGCCTTATGTATTCTTGTTCAACTGTAAGAAAAGCATCATCAAACTGCTTGGCTCCCAAAGTCAGTTCGTGACAGTTTGATTCTGGCTCCTTTTGACATTCATATTTTTCGAGTCTGCTTCTCCCTCCCACCCAAGTAACAATTATGGTTTTATGAGGGTTATGTAGACCATGATTTGGAATTCTTTAAAACTACGATAAAAACTATCAATGTTACTTAAGCAGGTTGGGTGGGGTAGCAGGAATATGTCCGGATCCGAATGTGTACAATGTGGCACATGATAGATCCACCATTTCATTTGAGGCATCACATGATGGGTTTTGGTCCAAGTCAGAAACTGGCCACTTCCTTTGGGGTGCAAGGATCATGTCCGGATATGTCCAATATGGTGTTGGCCACTTGATATAACCACCATTTCACTTGTTTTAAAATTCTCATGTGATACCTCAACTTGATGGGGTTTGGTCCAAGTCAGAAATTGGTAACTTCCTCTGGGGTACTCGGAACATGTCCGGATGCGGCCAATTTCGTCCTGGATGCTCAACGTATCTGTCATGGATTTGTATTTGTAGTAATTAAGACTAATTAAATTGAAGAAAACTTTTTTACTGTTTTTGAGCATTCCACTAAAAACCCAATTTCATAACTTCATTACTTCAATCAGTAATCTCATAAACATTTCTAAAATTTACCTCCCTAACTCGATAGGCCCTTCAATATCGTTGACTGTAGTTTCAGAACAAACAATGGAACAGTGTATGGGGCGATGCAAATATGACCGCAGCATCTTAGAATATTCCTTACATAGACAACCCTAATAGTCAAATACCATAAACGAACGATAACACGAATGGTAGAACTATTTCACTTATGGTTTGGATGATACTTAAATTTTTATGGTTATTTTTATATCTTATGGAAGTGATTATTACCTCGAACGGAAGTCTCCACTGCAGTAAGCACATCGTAAGCTAACTCCCGTTTTAAGGTTGTGAACTATTTTTCGATGAGTCTGGACTTCGCTTTCGGTAGTAAAATCATTTCTTTCACAAATTCCGCAGCTGTAGTAATTGTTGGTGCTAGTGGTAATTTTGGTGGTTGAAGCCATTTTTTCTGGTACCGATGTGTGTCCAACAGTATTGGTAGTGGTTGTGGTTGCACCGGACGAGCTGCCACCATACCTATGCAACAATGCTGTTGGGGAGTAAATCTGAGGAGTCTTAGTCGAACTCGTTGTATTGGACGATGCAGCAGATTGTGTGTTCCCTCCGGTGTTGTTTCCATGATGATCCGGTGAATATAGTCCATTTATTGATGCTGACCTTTGATTATATAGGTTGAGCAATGCTTTAGATTGGGATGCATTATTTGGACTTACAAATCCTTTCTTGGATTGTTCAAGATAGCGCTGTGCATGTGATTTACTTAAGCTATCATAGAATCCGTGTAGAAAGCCTGGATGTTTTAATGAATTAAGAGTGTCCACGTGCAGAGGATTATAAAATTTATTAGCTGCGTACAAATTTTGCCAACCAGCAGCCGCAGCGGCCATCTGACCGTGTAATTGTAAGTAATCCAGGTTATTAGTGTTACCATTACTATTAGCCGGGCTTGACGCAGCTGCCGCTGCATTGGAAATCTCCTTTTGACTGTGATGAGTTTGCATGTGTCGGTCTAGGAGAAATTCGACATGAAACGATTCTGTACATGCGGGACATCTTCAAACGGAAAATAAAAAAAAATAATTAATATTCAACACTTTGTTTAATCGAAGGGTATTCGTACTTGAACTTCCTGGCATGAGCAGCTAGATGAAATTGCATTTCCAGTTCAGACGCGCAGACGACTCTGCAGAAAACGCATTGTACTGCGCCGGACGCGATGTGACGTGAACGGATGTGATGCCTATTAGAGGTACATTTTAATTATATTTTTAAACGAAATTTTTCGCGACAGATTACCTGAATTCTCGATCGGCTCGAAACACTTCAGCACAAGCAGAGCATCGATATAGTTTGATTTCATTGGAGTGTGTTACGGCAAAATGAACCTGTATAGTAACTTTGCTATCAAAGGTTTCATTACAAAGGATGCATTTGTATAGCACTTGGGTATGAGAATCATACAAATGTTTGTGTAATTCTTCTACTTTAGTAAAAGCTTTATTACAAGCTGGTTCACAAATGTATTCTGCGCTGGTTACAAGGTAGTGACCAGCCACATGCTTCTCATACTCTTGTTGATCCCCTAATGTGACACCACATTGCTGACAAAGGAATGACGATGTTGCCGAACCTTGCTCGAGGTGTGCTTTTAAGTGAGTTCGAAAAGACTCAAAGTCAGGTAGCGCCGCGTTGCATTGATTGCAAAGATATGCTCCTGGTGGATTTGGCAAAACTGAACTAGGACCACCTAATGAACTGCCTTTTTCGGTTTCTCTGACATCTCGGCTAGAAGCGGAGGTACCCTCGTTTTCCATTTTCAGTTTTTTGAGACGAGGTTGACTTAAATCAGTAGGAGCAAGTTGTTCTTGAGCCTCTTGTGAGTTATCGTTTTCATCCTTTTTCTCTTGTTTGATAGATTTTGCCACAATTGTCATGGAAGTTTCATCGTTCCCATTTTCATCTTTTATGCTTTTTTCACTAGGTGGTCGTTCATCATTTATTTCCGATTGTTCTTCGTGATCATGTTTCTCATCGAAAAAAGCTGTTCCGTAGAACGAAGTATACGTATTCATGAGATTTTTGTTGAACTGTTCCATGTAGCTATTGGGACTATTTATCTTATCTAAATGAGTTGATTTGAGGTGACTAAGCATCATTGGAATAGTAGGGAACTTCATAGTGCAAAATTCACATGAAACAGGCGGATATGGTAGCATCGACTCTGGCGAGGTATGTCGGTGAAAATTGTTTTCGTTCAAAAGTAAATTACTATGCATAGTTTGTACATGAGCTCCCAGCTGTTCAATGTTGGAAAAGTCATGTTGGGTACAGTAGATACAGGTTAGTTCACCAGATTTCAGTAGCTTAGAACGATTGACCATCATCAAGTTCTGCTCATAAGGCGAGAACTTCCGTTTAGGATTTGAAGCACTACTTGAAAGTGAACTTGTCGAACGAGGACTGTAGGTTAGGTTTGGACTTCCTGTAAGGGCGATTTGCTTTTTGTGGTTCTGCATGTGGCTTGTAAGAGCAGCTGCCGTATTGTATCCACGATTGCAAATTGTGCACTGAAAGGGCTTCTGATTGTCGTGTGTTTTCATATGAATTTTCAAATGATCACTGTAATAACAATTTCGGAACATATGAAAAGTTTTGCGTTATTTTTCTGATTATGCTAAAAACACTTACCTTCTTGAAAAAGCCGCCTCACAGTGAGGACATCGATATCGACGATCTCCCGTATGCAACTTGGTATGACGATCTCTTGACCTCTTGTGTTTGAACAAACGAGCGCAATATTCACACTTGAATGGCATATGTTCGGTATGGCTCTGCAAGCAAGAAAGGGCGAAAAGAGATGAGTAGAAAATGGAACTCTTTGTAGTTGAAGAAAAAGGAAGTCAACGAAGTTGCATATTAAATAAATCAAGTTGCGAATCTTACGTGGAATGGTCTTGGAAACCAAATAATATGGTAGGTATAGCCGAACCAAAAAGAACTCCCTAGTGGAATTTCGTAACGCAAAGGCGGCGCAAAGAAACGCCACCATAAATAAAATTGAGTCATGGCAGCAAAAACTGTGTTGGAATTGCATGGCAATTTTGAAGCGTTCCTGAACGATCTGTGAGAGTCGTTTCTGATTTTGTTTTGTATCGCAGCAAATCGGCAGGAAAAGGGCCGGTTATAAAAAATATGAAACAGGCTTTTGTTTGTAGCGAAACTTGCATTGTGGCAAAATAGATGAAATAGTTTTGATCGATCTTCGCCTTCAATTCATAAACTGTGAGGAGATGGTGCATTCCCTTCGTTGGGTTTCTTTTGCGTTGGGACTTCTGTGTGCTGGTCAGTTCACAAATCAAAATTCTTTTTGACAGAAAAATAAGTGCCAAAGAATGCCGTCATCTACACGACACGTTATCTAATTTTTAAGATCTTTCATTCGCCAGTAAACGATATGTTGTCCGTTTTATTCTTACGCTCAAATGAAAGGTATTCATAGATGTCATTCTAAAATATGTTTTATATAGCCCGGTTGGATATTAAAGAACCGACAAACCTTTCAAGAGGTCTTGAGCGTATCAAAATGAAGCCAGCCAAATTACTGTTCTGTGGCCGATGTGATCGTGACATAATATGTGTTTTCTTCTTCTTTGTCTATTAAAAGCCTCCTTAATAAAGCTAAATAATAATAATAATAATTATTTGTCTATTACTGATAATTGTGCACTTAAAGTTTCGAAGTGGTTACGAAACTAAGGATCTCACAGCGAAACACCTTAAACTTTGCGGCTGTCCCCAACCTAGTGTTTTATGAGTAATTGTACAGAACTTTGAGAATAGATACCTTCAAAGCTATTGTATGATGAAACGATGTTTTTACTCTTTTATGGTCGAATGCGCATTGCGCATACAATCAGGGAAAAATATTGTAAGATCAAAAATTAAAACAACAAAACGTAATGATAAGAACCAAAAAGTCATATGCATCGTTTCAAAAAAAAAAAAAAAAAAATTGACTAGGGGAATTTACGTATTCTCGGCAACCTAAGCAGCGACCTTCTTTCTATAGCCTTTTTAACTAAGGAACGCACACATATGCAGTATTGGTTTGTTTACAATTTATTGCTGCCAGCTGCTCTAACAATTTCAGTCGAAAGAATTGTCAAAAACTGTTTTGAAACGTTTTTACAAAGCCGCAATCTTCTCTAGTGAGAGCGAGTATTGTCGGCAACCAGTTTTTCTTCGGCAACCGTTCCATTTGAACTGCATGTAAATCTGCTGTTCTATTATCGGCAACTCGAAATTAGCTACAATTTGTAGTGCGTGTGTTTCATTTCAATAAAAACTTGCTAGATTGCTTTTTCTCAGTGGTAAAAATATAGTCAAATTGAAGCTGAAAGCACAAAGAATCGTTTGCATGCATTCAGCGAAGTGTTTTCGTAAGAAAATCCAGTGAAAATAGTGTTTCAATTTGGGTTGCCGAAAATAGTCTGTCATGCCGAAGCCTTCATTTCCCCTATATGTTTAGTATTACGTCTGCGTGAAGTCAACGATTTACATGCTAATTTCAAATAACAGACTAAAGTGGTAATTTTTATACGATAGATGAAAGTATAGAATTGATAGTTCCGTTAGAGTACGGCAATGTGACAATTGCATATAGAGAGTAGAAAGCGAGCAAGGACAACTCTAGGAAGGTACAAATCGGTTTGATCATCTCTCTTTACCAAACTCTCCCGTTGGAGAGGGATGGTGAGGGGTATTCCCCCGCCACCACTGGCCAGTTATCGCTTGCAAAATCATTTTGTAAAGCTATGTTCTATGATTTTCAAAAAAAAAATTTCATTGCAAAATTTCATCGTAATTCATATAGACAAAGTTTTCTAATATGTTCTAGTTTCAGCTGGTCAAGTATGATTAAACTACATCGAACAAATTTCCATTGTCCTTAAAAAAGACAACCAACCAACCAGGTTGAGAATATTTTCGGTTTGGAAATTTAGTTTAGGACAAACGTTAAGTTCCAGTATGTAATGTGTAAAAGTCATGAAGAAGAAAAAGTTTAAAAGTCATCAAGAAGAAAAAGAGTTTAGAATTAAAATTTATCGATAGTTGTTTTTATTCTATTTTTATTTTTTATTAATTAAATTTTTAGCCTATGGCTAGTTTATATCCGTTATTGATAGTTGTGCTAATATCAAACATCTTGATGTTCATCCGTTAGGTCAAAAGTAAATTAATCCTTCATCCAGCTGTCTACTTCACTAATGAGTCAGTATTTACACGCTTTGATAACTCTATTATACCCTTTTTGTGTAGCAACCCGATGCGTCTACAAATGCGTACGATTGGTTAAGTCGCAATCTTGAAGAATTCGCTCGATGTTTCAAAAAGGTGATCTGTTGGCACGCCGGAAATTTGTATTGTGCCGATGTCGAGCAGCAATGTCTACCAGCAGAAGCTACCTAAAACATGATTTTCCCGATTTGGTATGATTACAATTATGACTGTTGTGGTGCACGATATGGAAGCACTCAATGTTCATAATTCTACTTTGACGCGCTAGCAAATGAACTGATCATAACGTGAATGAATCTACTCCAAGTACAGGACAAGCATAAATTTCCGAGAAAGGAGAAAAACAAGTTTTGCCGACAAGAGATGTTCCGTGGAGACAAGTTTGCAAAAACATGTTGTGTTGAATAGCATTTGCAGTAGGTTTCTAGAGACGAAGAACAAAAGGAACCAACTCAGAGCTAATCAGAGGTGTTGAAAGAAGCTGTCTGTTTAGAGAACTAAAACCAACAACACACAATACCTAATAAAGAAATTATTTAGTCGAGTAGCTAGACGACGCTGCTTTTCTTTTTAAACTACACAACTGAACGAAAAAGTGGGCGATCGTTTGAAAATATCAACGTAACAAACCCACCGACAGCTACATACTGGTTTCGTTTTCTCCTGAAATCTGGTGCGACACTTATTTTTCAGTCCAGACGACACCGTCTTTACTGCTACAAAAGAACATAAGTTGAGCGTAAGATATACGAACAAAAGTCACAACCTTTGACATCAAACGAGAGGAGAAAACATGGTTTAACGATGTTGTCGCTGTCTCGTTTCGTATGCATACTTTATATAGAAGAAACCATCCGCCCGGTGGAGATGACTTAATTGTCGCACTACCTCTATTACTTTACCCTTTCTTTTCAAATCAAATAAGTTGGGATAACACAAGGTACGTTTTCATACCAAAGCATTGCTCCTGCCTTTCTTAGGAAAGTATTATTATTAGAATCTCAAAATTAATGCAAGGAAGTAGTGTTTCCCTTGTCAGCCGATAGGAGACTTGTATCTATTCCCAAAACCGTCATGTTGTATGCCATGTCGTATGTCATACAGTATACAGCTTAGTATTACTGTTGTTTCTGTAACCTCTGGGAAATATATGTACAGCGCTACATCAGCCTTAGCACCTATTTTCGTCCTATGGAATAAAAAAAGTTGAAAATATCTATGCCATCACGGTGGTAGAGCGGCGCCGGTGGTGTAGTGGTAAGCGTGATTACCCCTCACTACAGCAGGCCTGAGTTCAATCCTAGTCGGCGCCGCCGGGATGTTCTGAGGCATAACATCTCTGATCAAACGGCACCGGTGGTGTAGTGGTAAGCGTGATTACCTCTCACCCCAGCAGGCCTGGGTTCAATACCAGTCGGCGCCGCCGGGATGTTCTGAGGCATAACATCTCTGATCACGCCTTCCTTCGGATGGGAAGTAAAGCCGTTGGTCCCCGGTTCATGAGTTGATGGGTCGATAGGTAGGGTCCAGGTGTGGGAGCTGCCTCCCTGGCGTCGGTAGCATTGGTGCTCAGCATGGAAAACAAGATCGACGGAAGACAAATCACGGTGGTAGAACATATCAATAGAGCAACCGTCCGATTTTGGTAACACATGACTTTTAACGTGATTCGATGATTAGGTTTGCAACTATTAATAATTGTGTTTTTTTTAACATTTACAATTATTAATAGTTGCAAACCTAATCATCGAATCACGTTAAAAGTTTCAGAATTAATCACATGATTGAGCAGTTTTACTATGGATGATCATATCGACTTCGTTATGGTCAGCGTTGTTCACGATGTTTCGTTGTTCACCAAGGGAAAAGTTCACGATTGACTGACAAAGGGGTGCGTCTTTGGAGGGTGTTTCAACACTCCGAAGGGTATAAAAAGCGGGACCTTTCAATTAGAGTCGGATCCTTGTGATAAATGCAAGAGTGGCAACTGTAAAAAATCGAATACTTCATCATTTCTCAATAGTGATGGAGTAATACGACATGCACTAAACTAAGGACACGGGATATACTACAATAGATCAATTTACTGGTCGCAGTAGTGTCAGGTCCCGAACAGAGGAAAAAAAAAAGAAAGGCAATATTCTTTCATTTATTAAAAAATCGAGAATATGGAAGTCATTAATGAGCCTTTTAATCAAGATCTGCCCGAATAAAAAAGGACAATTGTTTGAAATTAGGCTAAAAATTCCTCTTATGGTAAATTTACCTTAAGAGGTAACAACCGGTTGCTTTTACAATGGACCTACTCTAAAGATTGTAAAATTTTAACCATACAAAAACAATAAATTGAATAATATCAGCCACCAAACGTTTTTTGTTTGTTTAAAGACTCTTAATGATACCCCCTGTAAAACCCCAGGTTACCATAAATCTTATGGTTCAAAAGAATATATTTTACAGAGAGGTAGCATTGTTTCCGAATGGAGTTTTAACCGGTATTTTTTCTGGATTCCTGGTCATAAAGATACCAGTA